AACACAAAAGATTTAATGGCAGACATGTTTCGGGTTACCTTCAACCCATCATCAGTTAACAAAAAACAAAACAGAAATGAACCAAATACTCTTGTAGACTATATGTATATAGGTAATTATCATGCTGATAGATTGATTTGTTTGACAATAAGTTTGACCAACTATAGTAACTTATTGTCAAACAAATCAATCTATCTCTTTAAGATCGGATTTTCTCTACTGTTCCGTTTTAATTTTAATTTTCAATTGTTTTGCATTATATGGCCGTTTGCTGTTTTATGGGTGTTTCCCATTTGCCTTTATATATATATATATATATATATATATATATATATATATAATATAAATCAAGGTATTTACCTTTCTTTGATAATTCATATATATATATATATAATATATTATATATATTATATATATTATTATATATTATTATATATATGTATATATTAATTCATTTCATATTTACTTATTAAATTTCACCAGACTTATATGCACCTACAGGATGATTCGTTGGATTTATGTGTCGCTTTAGCGGACCAGTATCTTGCAAAGAAAACCATTGATTTGACATCTGTTCAATTACTTGGCATCGCATGCCTTTTTATAGCTTGCAAATGCGAAGAAATGATCACGCCTACGGTACGAATATGTCTTAACCATTCTTATATTTCTTAACTACATACTGCAACGATTCTAGGACCTTTTATTAGCCATTTAATTAAAGGTTTATAGTTAGTTGTTATGCATTATCTGTTAATGGTATGATGAGGAAGTACATTTGGATGTTTCGTTTTAAATTTCATAATTATAATTATTTTTACTCAATATACTGGTAGGCAACAAAGAGAATAAATCTGAACAATTACAATACAATAGTTATTATCGCGTCCTCATGAGTGTCTGTTTAAATGTCTTGTTTTGTTAATTATTTACCGCTGCTGCAGCAAGACGATTATGCTGCCCTCTATAGTTAGATTACAGTGGTCATGGTAGTCATTCACTATTCGACTGTCAAGAAAAATACTTCCCAGTGGTTTTGCAATTTTTTTTTATATACCTTTTTTTAATTGACTTCCTGCAATTTCAGTTTATTTTTAATATATTTGGCCCTGTTGTATCTCGCAAAACCCTTTGATATCCCCCCCCCCCCCCAATTTTAAGCTTTACAATTTTAAGCTTTAAAAGTGAATTGTTATATTTTAGTACTTGGGACTCAAAATTCCATACATTGTCAAGGAAAAGCTTATATATATATTTAATTGAGAGCTAATAACCAATTTAAATATAAATTAGCTTTTCTCTTTAATTTCTTAATTTAAATTAACTTTAAATACTTACTCTTGTTTTCGCGTGTGTAGGGCATCTGGCTGCCATTGGCTGATTCTTTGAAAACAATAGTTGACATTTCTACTGTTTATGGTTTTAGGTGTAGAAAGAAATCTAGGCTTTACCACCAGAACCAGAACTGTGCTTTTATAACAATAAGCATTAACTTTAAATAAAAAATTTGACAAATAATATTAAGTAAAAACACTAGCCTATAATTTATATAGGCCTATCGCGATACATCCAAATTGAATTAGCCTTTTGCACACGAACCGAAAAAAAAAAAAAATTCAAGCAAACCGTGCACTAATGAAAAATGGTTTGTTGGGGCACGGTTGGGGATACGGAAATAACACTGGGAGTTGCAGTACTGCTGACGTCAAACTGTGCCCTAATGGAAAATGAGTGCACGGTTGGGGATAGAGAAAAAACATTGGGAGTTACAGTGATGACGTAATGTTTATTAGCTCAACACTGATGATATCTTTAAAGATTTTCTGTTATAATTTTATTAAAGTATTTCTGTATCGTTTCATGACTAGATGCAGGATCTCTGTTACCTAACAAGCAATACATACACAACCACCCAACTTCGAGAGATGGAGATGGACATTTTGGCGACTTTAAATTTCTGCCTTTGTTTCCCATCTGCTAAGATTTTTTTAGTACGATACCTCAATAGTTCGCAACAATCAAGAAACGTAAAACTCTTTATTTTGTTTCTATTGCTATTATTGTTTAGTTTTCCACCAATCAGCAGCAAGTCTCATTACTCGAACATTATAAGTATTCCCTTGTTTTAAATTTTCTGCAGATAGGCCTATTATTCTTCTGAGGACGATCTTGATGTAAATCTCAATCGAAAAAGTTGTGACATTCTCAACCACAACATTTCTTCTAGAACTATCTACGTTTTGTACCGCAAGCATTAATCCTATAATTATTACTTGGTCATGCAAACCTTCAAAAATATATGTCATAATATATAGTTATATTTTACCGTTGACTAAACTTTCCAATCATTCTGTTAACACATTTTAAAGTATGACGTAATCAATATCAATTTAAAAAAATCATGGTTTAGATATTAAAACTGATAGGAAGCAAAAACCTTCTCCAAATACCATTCGGTGGAATGTGTTCGTAAAGAACATTTATTTTTATTATCAATGTGGTGTAGTAGTGCACACGACTTATTTACTGTATTAAATCACACACATAAAAAAAAATCACTGTTTAAATTTTATCATTGTTTCTCTAAAATAAACATTTAACATGAAGGAAGACACCAAGTTAACATGCAACTTTATTTCAGGAAGAAAACTTATGTAAATACTTGCTTGACTTGAGCCTGATAGACCTTCATCAGTGTGCGTTCACCTCCTCAGAAAAAGCGGCATCGGCGGTTTGTCTTGCCAGAAAGATTTTACATGCAGACGACAGTAACGCGTGGACTTCAGAACTACAACGCGTTTCTGGATTTAGCGAAGCTGTCCTTAGCACATGCGAAAAGTGGCTGACAAAGTTAATAATCAAACAAGCAGCAAATAAACAGAAGGTAAATACAGATTTCTGCTCAACAATATCGATATTTTGATACTTATGATTCCCTAACCTCTTTGATGCGTACGCGTTCTTCATTTAAGATTAGGCCTATAACGGGCACTCACTGCGCTTAAAGCTGGTTTTCCACTAGGCGAATTTATTCTGATTGGTTGCGCATGTGTTTCGCTAGCAAAAACTGATAGAAGTGTGAATGCGCATGTGCATGAGCCGAAGC